CGTCTGTTAATGGACGTCTAACAAAATTAAATTTCTTTTCCTGAGAAAAACGTCTAAGTCAACGTCAGAATGAATCTTTCAAAAATCGTGCTAATTCTAGATAATATTCTAATAGATTCTTATCCAATCTTGAATGTTTATGAAAAGGATATACGAATCTCAGTCATCTTCGAGAGAGAAAGTACGAACATAATCTGAAAGAAAATTTTTTTTAATTTATATTGCCATTAGAGTAAAGTGTCTAATTGCCTAATATGCAACCATCTTGTTTCGTCCATTACTCTTCACACGATGCACGGTATTCCCATAGAGCACCAGTTTCCAAAATCAATTCGATATAAACTTTTTTGCTGATTCAATATAATGCGATTGGTTAAATTCATATCACAACAAATCCTTTGGATTATCTCATCCAAAGAATTGTTGATTAAATTGCCATCGATCATATTACTGAGAAAATTCCGTACTTGTTTCATTATAGACGTTATAGACAACATTTCAAGAAAACGGAAAATATTTGTGAATAAAACTTCGGTGAAAATTCGCTAAAACTGCAGTATATAGAGTGGATGGAAAAGAACACGCAAGGTCCGCCCTCCCTTCAAAATTATGAGTCTAGCGCTTTGTCTCAAACGAGTTCTCTTAGTTTTAAGTGATCACATGAATTCCAGATGAAAATATGGCTTGTCATAATTCATAACTGGTGTATTATAAAACCCTATGCACATTGCCCATTTCTTTAGCCTATCAATCATTGTGAGTCAAGTCCCAACTATTAACGGACATTTAGAAAACACTCTTGAAGGTGCTCAGTTTTAGACACATCACAACACAATCCTAAATGCTTTCTTTATCATTCATTTAAGGTAACCACTGTCTACAAATATGAACAGAATGAAAGAAAATACGGCTGACGTCGTCTTTCACCCTCTTTCGCTACTAAACGATATTTTATTCATGATTTTATTCATAATATATTATTCACTTTATACTATATCTGACTTCTGCTTTCATGACTAATGGTACGTATGAACATTTCTTCTTCGAAATTAAACGATTGTAGAAAACTCGTTTATTTATTACATCTCTTTACTAGATCTTAAATGAATGATAAAGAAAGCATTTAGGATTGTGTTGTGATGTGTCTAAAACTGATCTGAGCACCTTCAAGAGTGTTTTCTAAATGTCCGTTAACGGTTGTGACTTGACTCACAATGATTGATAGGCTAAAGAAATGGGCAATGTGCATAGGGTTTTATAATACACCAGTTATGAATTATTTGTCATATTTCAATCAATGGATTAAATCTGTTATACGAAGAGAAACATTCAACATTTACTCTTCGAACCTCACATTGTAGTGGAAAAGCAATGCCTGAAACATCATTAACAAGTTATTTACACCAGATACGGGAGATTTAAAAACTTGTCAACTGTGTTCCACACGATCTAATAATCATACGTGTTCAAGTGAAATAACAAAACTACCACAACATTTATTTTTTAATTTTACAGCTGCTGATTATATTTCTGGTACATTAGTAGAACAAATGAATTTTATTTAAAACGATCAATTAACACGGAAAGATTTCTTTCAACAAATACTATTGCCCTTCCATGTTATTCACGTTACGACTTATATTCTTTTATTGTCATTGTCGGTTCCAGTGATAACAGTAGGCATTATTTAGCCTAGTCTAAATATGGAGCACAGTGGCACAAATGTAATGATAATACAATCGAAAAGGTAGAAGAACAAATTCTATTTTCTGAATCTTATACTGCAGCAGCAGCAATGTATATTCGTCGTCCATTAGCCGAGAAAACTGACGATTCAATGTAGTGCAACAAGTTTAAGTGATCCAAAAACGGCATTATGTTTAGCAAATGCATTAAATGTCATATTAAAAGAAACGAATGTTTTATCTTGGGTTTTTGCTTTTTCGTACACATGTTCATGGTGTACTGAAAGCAGGTGTTGTAAATAACAGTTTTTCTGAGTATTAAAGTAGAATACTATTTTTCTTTCTGTAGGGTTCCGTTCTATTGGTTGCGAGTATCTTCAGTTTTCAGATGAATCAGATGTTTCATCCGATGGAGTTCTAGATTTAGAAAATAAACTAGTTCAGAAGTATTTTGTTCCAAATCTGCAATGTAAGTTATCCACTTATTATGTCATAGGTTTACTTTTTACTAGAAATGCGGCTACAGTCAGCGCTTATAATGGAATGTTTGCAACACTGATTTATAAATCGATTTGAATACTTCGGGTCGTAATTGTCCTGGTGAAACACACACTAAAAACGAATGTTACATAATCTCTGAAAATCCAAGCCATTTATTAGTAACCCATAATACAAGAAATGTTGGTTTGCATCGATTAATAAAAGATCATTTATCACTAAGATATGAATTAACATCGACTATTGTTGATTATTATTTAAATATTTTAATAGTTATTACTGAAGATGCACGAACGCTTATTGTTAAAAAGTGTTCCAACTCCGACTATTTATGTTATAATCAATCGTTTAGACAATTCGAACCATTATCAAATGGTTCGATTGAAACGTTTCTAGCTGCTGCAACCCAAGTGTTGCTCTGCTATAAAGCAAACGAAGGAACGGTTGATACATATTCACCACCTGCTGAAAAACAATTAGACATTAGTACATGGAAGTTATTACCTGAACCAGATAAGAAAAACATCAACATAGTCAGGGGTCAATTATCACAAAAAACTGCATATTATGTTATTGATCGGTATGATTTATCAGCAAATGATTTAAAAAATTTAATTTAATCAAACCATGAATTAAATGATACAATCCTAAACGCACATTTATATCTAACACCAAAACTCGTCCAGAACACAATTTTATTCGATTCAGTTGGTACACACGCATTCATTCAACATGGATTTGCTGCAAAAGATTTTATTCTATCTCACAACGAATGGTTTAAAAATAATATTATTTTATTTCCCATTCATTATCATCAACATTGGTTGATGTATATAATTGATATTCAAAACAAGTTTATCGTTGAATTTGATTCTGCATTGTCAAACACCTTCCCCAAAACAAAATATATACAATCAATATTAAAATTGTTAGACATTCAACACTGTCTATCATTCGGACGAAAAAGCGACTTTAAACGATGATCCATAGCTCGCCCAAAGTCTTTTGGACAACAAGACGACACATCATCCTGTGGTGTTCATTGTGCTCTATTCGCAAGAAGCTATTGTACTGCTACCCGTTACCCTCCGATTACGAGAAAAGTCATTGTTCAATATCGCAACTTAATAGCTATAGACTTAATTGCCCATGCATAATTTCATAAAACTTCAGACACACAGTTGAAAAATTAACGCGCTCTTTCAGTTTCACAGTTAACTATCATAAACCATTTCGCGGGTTATATCAGCCGAACTCTACATCTAAACTAAACATACAATAATAAAAAAGCAATGATGTGAAACTCCGACGGAAGAGCTAACACAACGTTCTCACGCGTTCAACATGAATCTTGATTTTGTCCGGCTCTCAGGCATAGATTTCGATGTCATCGATCACTGCTTCATGTTTCCCATCCAGTTTTGAGTTGAAAACACGTTTTCATAATACCGGACAAAATCAAGAACCATAGAACACATGTGGGTATAAGGTCACTTTATGGGGAACTTAAGGAATCCAGATTTTGACTATTCCATCGTAAAGAGCATCACTTAAAACCTATAAATTGACAAAAGAAACTTGGCGGCAAACACGCGAAACCCAAAAAAAATTCAATTTACTCTCATTAGTGCCTGAGGGGGACCAAAGGCACAAATTTTGGACAAAATTTTTTTCTGCTAAATATACATCATTGAACTCAGTTTCGTACGTAGATTACGAATATAGTATTGGTTTTGAATAGAAATTCTAAAAACTTCGCTCGATT